CAGAACTCCAATGGCCTCATTTCACCTCAGTTTCATCCGCCAAGGCCTTGTCTCCAAGTATAGTCACCCTGGGAATTGGGGCTTCCAGATGAGTTTGATAGGACGATTCAATGGCATGCCCTCCCTTCTGACTTGTTTTGGAGGAAGTCTACATGCATCATCTTTAGTGCCTCCTCCTGGTCTGGTCTGGTCTGGGTCTCAGTTTCCCGCCTACAGGGAGAAGTCTAGCTGCAGCATTCTGAAGCTGAATTAGGAAGGGGTTGGAGTCAGTATGAACACTCAGTGTGCATGGGCTCACTTACCCCTCCTGTCCTGAGTTCCCCATGCCTCTCTGGCCTCCTCTTGCCCAAAGACCTTCTGTTTGGGCCTCACCAGAGAACAACCTGGATCCAGCCTGTGGCATTCGCTTAGTGGTGCTTCCGGGGTATGGGGACCGAGGGATCAGTCTTTAGTTTGCTTCTTCCTTTCCTCCCTCATTGTGTTCCATAGGTGCCATCAGTCCCAGCTGTTGTTTCTGGGTTAAAAATTGCTTTGCTTTGGCTGTGAATTTCCTCCACTGCCCAGTCTCAACTGCTAATAAGTTATTACTTCTTCATCTGTTCGATAGCTTCCAGAACCTTACTTTTCTCTCTTCTTTCTCTTTGTGGGGTTTCATGTTTTTTTTTTTTTTTTAATTTACTAACATTAGTCTTGTGTGCTTGGGAGGGAACAAAGCTCCATGTGTGTACTCAGTCCTTTTAACTGAGAAGCTTCCATTACTTTCTACAAGTGACTGCCAGGACAACTTCATTTTTGTTCCGTTAGAGCAGGCTGACTACTTACCACTGGTTTTCGTCCCCTATCATCACCATTTGTTCCTTTCTTGGATGTCTCTTGGCTGCAGAAGTGAGGGGTTTTCCAGAGGAGCTGTGGGCTTAGGAGGTGGGGTGGGGCAAGCTGTCTGCTAGGCCCATAGAGCTTCCAGACCGACTGACCCTTTTCCAACCCAAATCCTTGGTGTTAGCCATCCTGGAGCTACCACTGCTCACAGGCCCGAGATTCCTAGACACTTTGCAAGTTTGCAAATGTCAACTTGTTGCCTTCCAGCCAGCTCTTCACTGACCAGCTCTGAGGCCGTGGCTAATTTAATTCCGTTTTGAATTGTAGTTTTGCATCTGTAAAGGGAGACAATTCCTACTTCTAAGGACGGGGAGCTCAATATTCACCATTCATTTGGTTCCTGCCTGCCTCTGCCTCCTGTCCTTTTCTTTCTTCAGATAGATGCAGTGACCCAGTCCCTGCTCCCGCAGAGCAGGGCAGAGGTAGAGCAAGTCTGGCACCCAGTAGCCGCTCTTCCTGGGGGTGGGGGAGGGCAGGTACTGTCAAGTCTCCCTGGTGCTCACATTTTCTAACCTCAGAGACAAGAGGGGCCCTGAGACGAGAGCCGACCTTCTCCCCAGGGCTGCAGCTGTCTCAGCGCAGCGCCCTATATCAGGGGAGGAAAGATAAAATACTGTCACCCCTGACCTCAATAAAGGATGTTCACGCTCCACTGCCTCTGTGAACTGGCGTTGTGACATTTTGTATGATGAGATTGTTCACAATCGAATGTGCTGCTACCTTCTGAATGGAAAAGGCCAAGCGCCAGACAGTTCTGCCCTCCCCCACCTCCATGAATGAAGGGTGGAAGAATGTGGGGGAAGAAGGGGGGGCACACTTGCCTTGGATGAGTGAATACTGTAAAGACATCTGAAAGAAGCAAGTCTTAGGACTGAGTCAACACATTTGTATAGCACTCAAGTTTAATACCTGATTCTAAGTATTGTCACAATGAGAATCTAAAAGGTTGGAAGATACAAAAGTCCTGCTTAAATAAAGTGTGGCACCTTGTCCTATTCTGTTTTGTATCCTATAACAGCATCTTGAGACTGGGCAAGAAGCAGATCTAGTTCTCTCTGGGGGGCAGTGTTGGGGATTAAACCCAGGGCCTCAGATGTGCTAGGGAAGCGCGCCACCACTGAACTTCATCTCCAGCCTAGAGATATATTTCTTACCGTTCTGGAAGCTGCGAAGTCCGAGGGGGCATTCATGGTGTGTCATTCTATGGCAGAAAGCAAGAGGTCAAGAAGCACATGTGAGAGAGAGAAAAAGCCAGGGGCCAAACTCAACCTTTCATCAGGAACCCACCTGTGTGAACCAATCCACTCACGTGATACCATAGAACGTTAACCTATTTACGAGGACAGAGCTCCAATGGCTGAATCAACTCTTAAAGGTCCCATCTCTCAACACTCTCAGCATTGGGCATTTGATTTCTAACGTGAACTTTGCAGGGCATGCTCAAACCACAGCACACTGAGGGCAGTGGATGACTAGGTAGCTGATACTAAGGACTGAAATGTGAAGATGCTCACCTTAGTGTTGAGTAAGAAGGTGGCAAAGCAACACGTCCAGTATGACTGCTTTATTAAAACTAAAAGCGTGGGCTTGCTGCTCAGTACCTGTCAGCATCCTCTTTAATGTGAGCTGACTGAGGGCTTTTCCCCTAAAAAAGGAAATGTGGTGCAGAATGGGTTGAGAAAGGCCATGTCACTGATTTGGGTTTGGATCCTAACTCTCACTAGCATTTTAGTGGCTGAGAACAGGGCTGCTGTGTGGGGCCACACTGGGGGTGGAGGGGTCCTACTCAAACTACAGCACAGGCAATCCACCTACATTGTGTGAACAGTTCTGCCACTGGGTAGTGACCTCAGGCTCAGACATTGAGAGGCCAGCCTGTGTCCCTGTTTGTTAAGTGGCAGAAATTATTCACTTTGAGGATGGTGTTGAGGATTCTCCAAGACCAGAATGAGAAGGACCTGCAGCAGAGTCCAGTGCATGGTGGGAGACCAACCAACGCTCATTCCTTCTGTAGGGTGATAAGAAAATTTCCAGATGTACAAAAACAAGTATTGTAGGTCCAAGAAGGACAGAAGCTGGGGATAAAGCCACAGGCAGGATGCAGAAAAGCAGCTGACTTGTTACTTCTTAGAGGCTTGGATTTGATTATTTGTGTATGCGAAATCAGTTTCTCAAACAGTTTGCAAACTTTCTTTTTGGAACTGCCCTCACAGAATGACACATAGGCATATGGCGGGTACACACAAATATGTCTATGTAGAAATATGTCTGCCCCTGTCATGAAAGGCAGCCAGGACTTCCTGGGCAGACAAAGCTACCGACTCCTACAGCAGAGATCAGTAAAGTACTCCGACATCGGACAGCTTCCCAGACACCCAGAATGTCAGTGGCATTTTAAAATGCTTTTTGCTGCTGCAATCTCACTGGTATCTTGTTACCTAAGCATGGATTCAATGGTTTGCAATGCTGGACTTAATGTGAACAAAGGGAAAGACCAACTGGAGGTTGGAAGAGACAGCCTCGGTTCTGACTTTGACTTCTGGGAAAATGTGCAGAGACATTCCAGCAGAACACTGGAGATCCTTTTGTCAGATAAGAAACTCGGTCATGGAAGAAATGGTCCTGACAGTGTATCTGTTAGACATTAGCAATGATAGCCAGTTCTTCTAGCTTGTTGTCACACAGGTCCTGTTCTAAGAACTGGGGTACATGAACTTGTTTATCCTCCTAAGTGCCCAGCAGGAGGCACTGTCATTCCCATTTCACAGTTCACCTGCCCAATGCCACACATCTGCAGAGAAGCCACCTCATCAGAGCCACAACCACCGTTCATCTGATGCATGACTTATGTGACATCTTCCAAACATGACACTGTTTGATCCCCACACTTGCCCGAGTAATGGCTTTCCAGACCAGAATTCCAACTCTTCTCCTGAACTCAGAAGTCTGTGAGTTCTTTAAAGACAAAATTTGTGTTTGCAATTAGATGGTTATCTTAAAAACAAAATAAAACTCCAACACCTTTGGCAATGAAAACCTGCAATTTGAAAGACATTTCTATAGACCTGGCTTTGGTTTTAAGTTGCACCTCTCAGTCCTTTTTGGCTAAGTAGGGGTGAAAATGGAAAGGGGTCCATTTGAATCCCAAATCTAAGAAACAATGAACTTGACCAGGCCCTTTCACATGGTGATAATTTATTTTAAAATCTCATTTCTTATTAAATTTATTCCAGTCTGTTTTTGACATGGCCTTTTTTTTTTTTTTGTTTTCAGGTGATTTCGCTAAAAGTTGGACTAATAGCAGAGCTGCCTGACTGGGCTTGTGGAGGTTGCTAAGGTGTCACTCAGATCAGGAACAAACTACAGCTCAGATTGTTTTCTGCCAAGGTGGCAGGCTCAGGCCCAAATGGCCTTTGTCATCAGGCAGCCATGGGTCTGAACAGCAAAGGTCCTGGAAGGACTGGACTAGTCAGGTGGTACTGGTACTAAGCGCCACACAGACCAGGTTGAGCCCTGGCCATCAGCAGAGAAGCTGGGGCTTCCAGTGGCAGAAGGTGACAGCTCTCGCACCTGGTGAAGCTTTGCTACCTCTGTGGGTTTGTGCAGCCACGAGAGCCTCAGCCAAGGTGTCTGAGGGTGAGCTGGAAAGAGCAAGTCCTGAACCTGGAGATGAGGACAAGCATTAACTGAGGACTGAGATCCATGGCATGAGTGCAGGCTCCTCTGCAACCTCATTTTAAACTCTCGCTCTGAGCTGGCATCTTTTAAAGTAAATGTTACACATGCATGCTCTTTTGCAGCTCCATCATGCATTTTGACCCACTGGGGTAAATGGGAGAGGTGAGCAAGTGGAGGCCCAGAGACGCTGCATTTGCCCATGCACACTCAGGTGAGGAGCTGAGGCCTGCCCTGTGGCCCAGTACATCCTATTGTCTGTGACACCATGAGACAGCCAAAGTGGTATATGCTTTATTAATTTAATAGTTTTATTTTTATAGGGAAAAAAGCATAATTGAGAAGTAGCTAAATTCCCTAAACTCTACTCATGGAAAGCTGCTGGATTCCACGTGGGCTCATAGCCCATAGCTTAATGAAATGGCAGACAGCACCCAGGAGGAAATGAGCAGTGCCATGGGTTGGAAACTGAAACCTGCATATTTATGACAAATACCACTCCATTCACAGGGAGAGGAAAAAACCCACACCACAACCCTTCTTTGTATGTTAAAGACTTTTTATTTCCAGACCTTTTAGGGGAATGGCTTCCATTAGGCAAACCTTTGTAACTAAGACAGAAGCCGAGGGGCCGGGATGAAGCCATGCTCTCACTGGGGCGCTGATCCCCTGCAGGCGAAGTCTCCTCTGCAGAGGAGCTGGAACTTTATAGAGGCAGATCTACAAGGTGAACCTTTGGTAAAATATCAATGTTTTTCCTACTTTTGGATTTGGGCCTGCTTTCCACTTCTTTTTGCTTTCACATGACTTGAAGTCTTACCTGTCTCCACTTAACACAAACCAACATGCACCTTCAACAACCAGCATGCAGGAGATAGCTTCTGTGGAGGAGGCGTCTTGACCAGGGCCACAGAGGCCATGCATGTTGGACTCTGCCTGCTCAGAAGACAGATGGGGTGGCCAGATGCCTTCTGGCATCACTATGGCCACCTCCACTGCTCTGCAATCACCAAACCAAGGGTGTGGGAAGTACAGACAGTCACAAATGTGAGATAAAAGCTTCTGTGATGGCCTGGCTTGGGGAAGACTCTGGCTGGGCTGGTGATGGCTGCCATGGATCTCAACACAACTGCAGCCTTCACTCCTCTTTTTCCATCAGAGCACTATTTCAAGACAGCAGTAACCAGAATCATTTTCATTATAACAAAATCTCATCTGCGTAACTTGTAGGCAAATGCATACGTGGTTAAGACAAGAGATCCAACTCTGACAGTCTTCATATGTTCTAACCTGACTATTGTCCCCAAGGTACATAAAGAGCTTCCTCCTGAGACAGCCCCATGAAAAACACTCAAGTCCTATTTCACAGTCTAGTTGAGTTGCTTTGCTTTCGTCATTGTGTCTGAGCAAAACAGATCACCTGCAGCCCTCATGCAGAATGCAGTAACTGGTTAAATGTTTTAAACCTCAGAAACTGAAGTGACTTTCTGGGTACACATAGGAAAGGGCAGCTCCAGTGCTGGGTCAGTAGAAGTCTAGCCCTGGATTTGAAAGTTTCCAGTCTCTGTAGCCGCAGGGTGTCCAGGGGACAGTGTAGGTCCAGCTGCTTTATTCAGCCTCTCTGCTGAGTACTCAAGAAAGCTTGATGCTCGGTTTTCTGCCAGGAAGGGCAGTGCACAAAAGTAGACTGGTATGGCTGTTATTTTAGCATCTTTACCATGTATGGGCCTTGCAATCTGTAGCCAATCTTTCTGTAATAATTCCTGGTGCCAACCCCTGCAGAAAAGCCAAAGTAAAGAGTATCTGGTCAGCTGAAGTGCAGCAACCTTCTAGGATCAGTCTCTGCCTCCCAAAGTCGCAGACCTACTCCCCCACTTCCTGCCCCTAGACCAAATTCCACTCCAGATAAAATCTCAGTTTAACAGACTTCAAACATTTCTCTTATGTTGACTTCAAGTTGTATGAAAATTCAGAAAATGTTATGTAGAGAGAAATGTCCCTTCCTTGATCTCTAGCTAACATAAGCTCATGGCAGGTGACACCTGTACTCATGGGTCACAGCAAATGGGCACATGCCTATGTGAACAGGTGGCAGGCTGGGGGTGTTGCTGAGTGTTTTAGGGGTGAAGGTGAACATGGAGAAGTGGATTTCATGTGTGAGATGTCTACACTGCAAATGAAGCCCAGTGACACAGGATTTCCCAGAAGTGTGAAGAGAGAAGTAGGGAAAGTGGGACCTTTTTCCAGCCCAGCAGCAAAGGTAGTACAACCTAACATGGCTGCTTCGAGGTACTGACGTATGGAAGGGTGAAGGGTGCCTGGAAAAAGTTCTTTCCTCATTGGCTGTTGCCAGACAAGTGGCTTTGCTGGAATGGATCTGGCTCATAGGAACATGTGGTTTGTGAAGAAAAAGGTGGGTTTCCCACAGCAAGCAGTTCTCCAGTTCTCTGTGGACATCTACAATGTAACTCAATTCTGACACTACTCAGTACAGTCCCCGTAGGTTAAGGGTTAGTCCACAAGACTCCCAACCTCAGATATCTATTCTGTCCAACTTGGCTACAAATTGGGGGTTCCCCTAGCTCCTCCTTAGAGTAGATGATTTGCAATAATGGCTCACAAAACTCTGAGAAACATTTACTTAATATTTACTAGTTATTAAAGGGCATGATAAAGGATACCAATAATCAGCGAGATAATGTACATAGGGTGAGGTGTGGCTGCAACTCCTGTCCCTGTGGAGTTAGGTTGGGCCTCCCTTCTGGCAAGTGGGTGTGTTTGCCAAGCCAGAGAGCTCTCTGAACTCAGTCTTTTGGGGACATTTATAGAAGCTTCATCAGGTAGGCATGATCAATTATTACCTCAATCTCCCCTGCCCCTAGAAGAGGGGGATGGGACTGAAAGCTCCAAGCTTCTAACCATGACTTGGTCCTTCTGGTGACCAATCCCCACCAAGAAGCCCACCAAGAACTGCCTTACTAGAACAAAAGACACGCTTATCATCAAGGAAATTCCAAGGGCTCTGGGAACTCTGTGTCAGGAACCAGGATGAAGATAAAAAAATATTTATTATGACTCAATGTGAAGGAACATTAAAAGGTTTAAACTGATATTAAAGGCCCATGGAATTTGTTTTTCTTTAAAAGAGATCTCATAAGACTTGAGTTTGAGAAACACGACCCTAAACAATGCCTCTAAAACAGAACATGGCCATATCCAAAACACCAGTGAGATGTGTTGGAGACCTATAGCTGCCATTGTGGAGGAAGCAAATCCCTTACTTTCCTAAGCAGTCCCAGTTCAGAGGTAGAAAGGTCCTGAAGGCCTGGATGCTGAGGAATAAGTGAGGTGTTAATATGGACCCTGGAAAAGGCTAATTCCTCAGAGAGGCTGGCGTCCTGCTGTTCTCCAACGCATGTGGTGGTCTGGTGCTTGACTATGGTTCTAGCTTTATCTCTTGCTTCTCTCCCCTTCCACAATGCTCTGGCATAGTACATTTTAAATGTCCCTAACTTCCCTCTGTGCCTGGCTCTTTCTCCAGGTTCTGGGTCTTGCTCATGCTGTTCTGTGATTGGAGGGCTCCCCACTCTCAGTCCCCTCGGCTCGGCCAACTCCTAGATGTTACTTCCTATGGACAGCGTCTGAGGCCTCTGAGTGCTGGCTAAGCCACATCCCTCTTGGTTTCAGAGCACACAGTGCTCTCTCCGAGACGGGCTGTGACTCCCATATAGCACAGCATGCCTCCCTGCAGTGCCAGTTCTGTGGATTCCATTCACTTCTATTTCTGGAGATCTGTACTGTGCTCCCCCCCCAAATTTACTGAATAAAAAGTTCTGGCAGGAAAGGGACAGAGTCATGGCTCAAGTGGTAAAGCACCTGCCTGGCAAGTGCTAGGCCTAGGTTCCATCCTCATTACTGAAAGAAAGAAAGAAAGAAAAAAAAGCTCTGGCAAGAAATCCAATGCTTGTAAAGTTCAAGTCCATCCTAATCTTCAACGCAAACACTCATTATTTAGGGGTAGGATTTACCACCATGTTTTGTTTTCTACCCACTTTTAAAACGTTTCAAGTGTTAAGAGAATGGAACTGAAGTTGTGATGGAGACAACAGAACTGTACCAGAGAGGATAAAAGATCACCAGAGAATTTCCCTTTTTTTTAAACTGGGAATTGAACCTTGGATCTTGCTCATGCTAGGCAAGTGCTCTATCACTGAGCCATGCCCCCAGCCCTTCTGTTTTAGGGATAGGTGCTCAGTAACTTTGCTGGGCTGGTCTCAAACTTGTGATCCCTCTGCCTCTGCGCTAGCTGGGATTACAGGTGCACACCACCACACCTGGCTGGAGAATTTCCTCTTAATAAAAAAAATACTCTTAGTTCATCTTGCACATTTCTACTTTTTTTGTGTCATAATCACTGCTTCTGTTTGATATGTGGCTTGGGGTAAAGCAAGGGAAAGATAAGAACATGAAGTGTAATGGGTTTGAACAGTAAATGAGACTCAATGAATACAGGAAATCACTCAAAACCCTCAGAGGGGCACACTGCTTATCCTTTGCAGCATCTCTGAAAGTTCTAGATCCACAGGCATACCCTGTGACCCTGAAATTACACTTCTCAGTGAAAAGAGGAATGCTATACCCATAAAAAGACATGTTATTCATAATATCTGCAAATCAGAAATAACCCAAATACCCATCAGTAGTAGAATGGATAAACTGTGGTATGTTCACATAAAGGAATATGATATAACGATGAAGAAGCAAGTATAGCTGCCCACATCAACATGGATGATGCATAGAAGTATTTATGTGAAGGAAACCAAATGTAAAACATTCCATTTACATAAAGTTCAGACACAGGAAAAAACTCAGCTTTACAGTTGATACATGTCAGACAGTAGTTGCATTTACAAGATGACAGGGACTCAAGGGGAGCACAAAAGAGTCATTCAAGGTGCTGAAAATGTTATATATTGATCTGGGTTGGGGTTACATGGGAATATACAGATGCAAATATTAATCAGGCTATCTACTTAAAATTTCATACTTTACTGCATATGTGGTATTTCAATTTAAAAATACCCCAAGAGGGGGTGTGTCCATTTAATGAATGTTTCAATGTGTTCTGAGAGTTCAATTTGTCCAAAGAATTCAGCAAGTAAGGCAAGAGCAGGATGAAAGAGGTGGGCAATTAAGAAGCCATTGCCATAATGATCATAGGATGGTACAGATGCTCTGGAGTCACTTGGTGTGGCACTTCCATTTCTAGAACCCTCTGGCCAGAAACTGAAGTTGTTCCTAAACTTAGTTTTGTTTTTCCTAAATAGCAAGTTCTATGCTTGACTCATTCTAAGTAGATGAAAGACTTTCTTTTTATTTTAGAGAAGGAACTGGCTTTTGGTCACAGTGTAAAAGGAGTTACTACTTGACAATGAAAATACTGTGACACGAATGCCTGAGAACAGGAACAGCTGACCCCACGAAGTCAAGTCACCATTAAAAATCAGAATTCAGAGTGCTGATTCTGATCCACTACTCTCCAGCTTAGAACTGCTAAGGGCAGGTCCCAAGACAAAGCCCAGATCCCTTAGTTTGGAAATACAGGGACTCTCACGCAGCAAGCCCTGAGCTGCAGACCCTTCCCACATCAACCACACTACGTTGTAATCTAGGACTCACGGAGCAGCAGTGCCTCAAGAACTTCCACACTGTGTGGCCGTTGCTCTTTCACTGCTGCCTGCCAGTCATCCCCTCCACTGCCACTCCCATTGTCCCCGGCAAGCACACCATCACCAGAAGGCCACTGTGGGTTCTCTCCTACCTACAGGGGAGCCAGAACTAACAGCTCCTCATTCCACGCCCGCAGTGTAGACTAGCCACACTCTCACTGTTAATGTGATCGCTGTGTTCTTTTCCACTTGGGTTCCCTCTGTCCTGGAGCATCAGCTCTTTAAAGTCTATGGCTCCATCACCAGGGCTCACTGCAGTGTCTGTCTGGCACAGAATCGGGCTGCAATAACCACCTGCAGATATATTATATGCTAGTTATTTTTATGTTGTGTATATAAAGAGAAGTGTGCTCCTGGAGGATGTGTTTTAAAAAGAGAAATGTTAGGCTCTGTGTTAGGTATGGCAGTGGGAATGATTCTGTACAAACAGGATGAAGGGTGGGGTTTCTTACCCTACAAATTCTTACCTTGCTACAAATTTCCTGCCTTGTTAGCCAAGAGACTTAGAGGTAGCTTTCTGATTTACACTATTATTTCTATCTAATAAAAACTGCCCCCAAATCTTTCAGAAACATTTCTGGCCATTTTTGAGCAGGTTTTGGAGAATCTCAAGCATGCAGAAGTAGAGACGATGGTATAACAAGGCTCCACATACCTGATTCAGCCACCATCTTTCTAACACTCCTGGCTTTCTACTCACATGACATCACAAAACATACCTAATGCTTCCTTTTAGTTCTGTTCAGCTCAGTCCCCAGGGACATTTTGCTCTTTTATATGTCCTCTGTCAAGTCAAGCTGATGGTCTAATTTTCAGATTGAGATGTGCAGTTGGGCTGTGATTTACTTTGAAAAACATGCCATCAACCTGTGCTGTCCTCCACACACAGCTGCAGAAGTGCGTGAGAAACAGATTTTATACCTAACCTGGGACTTGCAGCCCTCAGATCATAGAAAGATTAACAGAGAGAGTGTGTCCAGATCGTCCAGCTGCGCAGTTACTGGTGTGCATGTGAGCATTTCTCAGCAGTGACTCCAGCTGAGCCTC